CGACTACAGGAAGCCCGAGGCAGAGTTGCTCTGCCCCGGGCTTCCTGGAATCAGCTGCTGATCAGTTTCAGCAGCAGCTGACTTGGGGATGCCTGGGGTTCTTAAGTTGATTCTGTATGTAAGTCAGAACTGGCAGTCAGTTTCAGCAGCCGCTGAATCTGGACGCCAGTTCCAACTTACATACAGATTCAACTTAAGAACAAACCTACAGTCCCTATCTTGTACGTAACCCGGGGACTGCCTGTATTAGGTTTCTGCTGTCATTCCATGAGTGGGAGTCCCCCAGTCCTTAATTAGGGAACACAAGAACAATGGGTCTCCGACAGATCTCTCTACTGCACTTTTTAAAATACTGGCTATTCATTTTTTTTTAAAATTGGTTTATATAGCTCTAGATAAAGATGCTTCCCTGCGCAATTTTACTTAATGAGAAGAGACAGTGGTTGCTGAAGTTGTGCTCATAGAGAAGGGTAAGAGTTACGAGAGGCCATTTGATCTTCGTTTGACTGTATCTTGCCATATGTTCCTCCTGCCCTTCCAGCTTTACAAAACCAGTTTTCATCCCATTTCTTGCAAATTGCTGTATGCTATAAAGTTGCTGCAAACTATCTATGCTGATGCAATTGACTCTTGAATGCATTTGCACATCAAGCTACACCCACACCACGATATCCCTCAAGGATCATCCTTGATTGCACAAGACCTGTAGTAAACCTCACACTGAATCATAGACACTTGGCTTCAGACTTTGTCTGATTCAAGGCACTGCTGTGCCGCAAATGGTAAGTCTTTGAATCCACATTAGTCCTGAGTGAACTATAGTTTTAAATTGAGTTTGAGGATTAGTATGAGCAATACTGTGTGAACAAAATGCGTTACCAAAAAAAAAACAAAAAAAAAAAAACCACCCTTACCTTTTAAGAAAGAAAAGAATTGTTTGTATTAAACTTGTAACTTGTGTTAAACTAGCATCCCTTTGAAAAAAGTGTCATCTTATTTAAGGTTTGGGAAGTAAAGGAAGCATGGCTAATTGGACACCACTTGTGATAAATAATTGGTTAGATCTTAGTCCAATAATGGGGAAAATATATGGCAAAGTAAGATACATCAAAATCCCTGCCCTAAACACCCTCATCTAGCTTTTGCTCAAGTCCAATAACCTGCAATTACATCATCTGTTTTGTTATACTGCAGACAAAAAACTCTATAGAGGTTCTTTATCAGAGCTTTAGGTCTCTCCTGGACCTGAACCTGTTGTAAGTGTTTATAACTGTACTGTTGTTAGGGCACAAAATAAAGTTGTATTTGCTTATATTTGTATTCTGAATGTAACCAACATCACCTGACCTTGGACTAGTAAAGGAATGCTTGTATAGAAACATAATAATTGGTAAACCTTAATAAACTTAGTAAAGGAAAAACAGACTGAAAGGACAGAGGATTGGAGAAGATACAAGAAATGAAGAGAGAGCATAGTGGCATTAGGTGCTGGAGACTGGAATGTTGTTGCCTCAGTAACGCTATTCAGGCTGCGCAGTACTTCTGTCCTTGGAGCCCCAACATATGGCTATCCCACATCTTGATAGATGAAAGGCAACACAACAAAGTCAGTCAGTCAATGGTGCTTGACATTAGTGTGGGAGAAGAACCGAAGGCACAAGTGGCAGACCTTTCCACAATGGCTACAGTTCCACTCTCCAGATGGCAACTGGAAAACACAGCTTCCTTGGTCACCTGCATGCCACAGACTGGGTTCTCAGATGGCTCTCTGAGATGAATACACCAGTCTTGACCAAACTTTTTCAGATTGAGTGGCTGAGAGTAGGGTTCTCCCAGTTGTCAGAGGGAATGCTGAAATACTTTAGACCTTGCTTGACTTTGTCACTGTATGGGAGATTTGGCCTCCCTCTGTGTTGCAAATAGTTTGAGCTGGCCCACAGAGCACAGCCTCTGGCAGACAAACTTGAGGCACATGTTCCACATGTTCCAGCCAGTAAAACCTGCGAGTGTCCAGTGTAGTCTGCAGAGACTATAGGTTGGCTCTCTCAAGGACCTTGTTGTTAGTGATCCGTTGGTCCCAAATGACTCCAAGGATTTCTTTGGAACAGCTTCAACCTTCACTGTCTGAATCTCCGCTTCTGCTCAGAATATATAATTCAGCTTTCACAGCTGTAAAGGAGGGTATTCGGAACACAAGCCTGATAAATGGACACCTCTGAATTCAGGGTTAGCAGCTTGCTGTTCCAGACATATGATGTAAGTTTGCCAAAAATGACAGGGGCTTTGATGAGTCTCCTATCTAGTTTTCTAAGTCACCTGGTTAAAGTTGATCTAAGATAGCAGAAGTGATCCATGCTGTCCAGAGCTTCATTACGGTTGTAGGTTTTAGGTGGGATGTTGGTTCCTTGTGACATCACAATTGTTTTTTATACTGATTACCATGCCAAACTTAATATATTCATCAGAGAACTTATTCATTATGATCTGCAATTCATCAGGCGTCTTAGCGATGACTGCAACATCATTTGTGAAGAGCAGATCCCAAGTAGTGAACTGAGTAACATGCTTTTTGCATTGAAATTGTCTGATGTTTATAAAGTATTTTTAATTCAATTCGTATGCCAGACTGATAGTTTCCAAAAGCATACTTAAAAGGACAAAAAGATGCAAAAGCAAGTAGGTGCTAAGATGCAGCTTTGCCTTATACCATCATCAATGCTAACTTCAGATGATGATTAATTTTTATACCCTCATGGAATTCCTTAAACAGGAAAGAGCACTTTTTGTGGATAGTCAATTTTCAATCAGATTTTGTGTATGTAATTCCTGCTAATTGTACTGAAGACCTTTTGTAGCTCAACATAGCTTTTTTCTTGCAACAAGCACATTGTGAAGGACACATCGGTCATGGAGCATCCAGTTCTAAACCTATGCTTGCTCAGGATAAACTCTCTCAGCAAGGACTTTTCATCAAGATCTTTGCAAACACCTTGTTGACTATATTGAGCAGAGATATCCCTTGCTAGTTGTTGCAGTCTGCTCTGCTCCTTTATATATATATACATATATAAAGTAATTGGCTACGTCTACACTGGCCCCATAAAACGGAATAGTCATGCAAAGCAGGTAAGTCAGAATAGGGAAATCCGCGGGGGATTTAAATATCCCCCACGGATTTAAATAAACATGTCCGCCGCTTTTTTTCCGGCTTGGGGAAAAGCCGGAAAAAAGCGTCTAGACTGGCGCGATCCTCCGGAATAAAGCCCTTTCAAGTAGGAATAAGAGATCCTCCGGAAAAGGGCTTTATTCCGGAGGATCGCGCCAGTCTAGATGCTTTTTTCCAGCTTTTTCCCAAGCCGGAAAAAAAGCGGCAGACATGTTTATTTAAATCCGCAGGGGATATTTAAATCCCCCGCGGATTTCCCTATTCTGACTTACCTGCTTTGCATGACTATTCCGTTTTATGGGGCCAGTGTAGACGTAGCCATTATGTTTGCATTTTTCAGATCCTGAGGTATGTGGCTTTCTTCTCAGCAGGTAGAAAGAAGTGCATGGATGTTGCTTTCAGCTCTCTCCCTCCTGCTTTTAGGAGTTCTGGAGGTACCTGATTGTTACTTGCTACTGTGCCAGGCGCAAATCCCTTTGACCACTTTCTTTACAACTCCAAGAGCTGGTGTTTGATTCTGCATCATTGAAAGCTGGGGAATGACAGCTAAGCAGTATCACACAGTGGCATCCTTTGAGTTCTTTGTCATGCTAAGTCCATTGGTTAAGTTGTTCTTATCTGTCAGTTAGGATGGTACCATCTTGAATTTTCAGGTTTGCAGGTTTTTTTTTTTTTTTTTTTAAAACAAATTGGCTGAAATGTCTCTTTGATTCCATCACAGGTGCCATATAGGACCCCTCTTTCAAAGCAGCTATTGCCAATACTTCTGGGCACATTCTCTATCTAGCGGCTTTCT